TAGGGAAACACAGCCCTTTCCCAGCCACACAAGGACACAGTTGCCTTCTTTGTCAGCTACACAATGGGAAAAGACTGTAATGCCATTCCTTCCCTGGATGTCCACGCAGAAGCCAGAATGTCTTAAGAATCTCCGAAAGTGTGAGTGGCCATGGTCCTCAGGGCAAGGTAGGCATATTTTTTACCTTGTGCAGGTCCAGTATGGGCCTGAATGAGGATCGCTTGCAAGACGTATGCACATGAATAATCCTGCATGTGAGGTATAGAGGTGCTCTGAAACGGAGTACATGGAGCCCAGAGCTCCAGACCCTACTAAGACTTTTTTGATCCCATGGTGACCTGCACAACAAGCAGGGAATAATGACAAACAGCGACTTTCTCACCTGCTAACAACTGCCTCCACCTTCTTCAGGCAGGGTGGGAACCCTATGCATAATTGGAAGAGGGTTTTATCTTTACATATCCTGGAAGGCAAAGATGAGAGAACATCACAAGCCTGTGTATTCTTGAGGAGAGAAAATGCTACTTTCCAGAAAAATAATCAGGAGGACCGGATGTGACAGGACTATGCTGTGCATGAATGCTAATCACTGATCTCTGAAGAGGTTTTCAATGTTTAACCTAGGTCTAGAGACAGCCTCTAATCCTAAATGAGCCAGTCCAGGAGCAGGAGAAGTCAAGAATCTGCTTCCTATGGCCTTGTGACCTATTCTCTGGTGTTCAGTATGGTACAAGCACAGTCAGAAGCTTTTTCTGAGATTGGGAGGACCTTGCTCTCCTATATGAATTCTCCATGCATTCTCTCACACAGGCTAAATAGCTGGGCACCTTTCCCCCAGGTGAGACCAGGAACAGAGGCTCCCTTCCACAGGGGCTCTGACCACAAACTTTCTAAGACCTCTGGGTCAAACTCGTTTCAAGTTGGCTAATAATGGCTTACAAATGCGTTGGAGGCAGAGAAGAGAGAAGAGAAAAAACAAGTATGAGTGCTGGCTTCAATCCTGTTCCCTTAAAAAAATCAGGCAAAAAGAAAAGATATAAAAGATACCAGCTCTTGAGGCACTACTTACGTGATCTCAGTAATGTTCCCATAGGCCTGGACAGCCAGCCCAAGAAGACTCGTGACACTTTCTTTACATACCCATGGCTCTTCTATACTGTAAAGCAGAATACAGGCAGCTCTGCTTTATTCTCATGCACAGATCCATCTCCACCTCTATCAGTTGAGTGCTCAGCACTCTAATATACACGGAAAGGCTGCTACACTCATCAGAGCACAGTTATGTCTACATAGGACACAGGACACAAACTGGGAATAAAAAGATGAGAAGCAGCCCAGTTTCCCTGTAGAGGTGGATGCTTTGGGAGAAGGGAAGAATTTGTTACCTATACGAACTGTGCAATACTCTGGTGAGGCCTAGTTAAGGACACGTTAGGAAAGTGCCCACACAGAATTAGTATCCCTCTTTATAAGGCAGATAAAGGTCTAGAAAGACAGCACAGACTACAGCCACAGCTTCATATGAAGCAGCAGAGTGCTCTGAGATGCCAGAGGGATAAGCTCAGTAATGAATCAAGGAGATAAAGCTGAAATACCAACAACTTTGAGTTATCCATGGGAATTTCTCAGACTAGTGCTACCTGTCTTTGGAAGAACTACAGCTCACAGATGCTTTTGATGAAAGGAGATCTTATATTATCAGACCAGCCCCAGGTTAATATCTAGAACATCACAGTGACACTGTACCTGATTTTTAGAGGACCTAGATTTCTCTTCAGTAAATGCAAAAGAGTCTCTGCAGTTTGCACTGTCATGTTGTTCTTTGAGGATCTAGAACCAAAGGTCATTATAAAGAAAGGCCTGCAAACAGGCCAAGCCAAATAGGTTCAAACAGGCTTTTCATCAGTCATTAACTCACATATATTCTGTCAGACTGGAGCACTTTTCCAGGACGAAGCATAGCTTTTCCAAGTGCTCTGGCTGAAAGTTGCACTCTGTGAGTCTGAAAGGATGCAAAAGAGAATAGTCTCAGTTTCTTATGAACAGTCAGGCTTTCTGACCCAGAAATCTCAGGCCTCGCAGCCTTTCCTCGTAGAGAAAGAAGGATGGTACCAAAACCTTAAATGTTTTGCAGGGCTCCCAAAGGACATTCTGGTAATGCTTTAAAAGCATCTCTTGACACGTTCTCATGCAGGCCTCCGTAACGGGTTTCCTGTGGTAATGCTACAGCTTTTCATAGCACCCACCTGTGACTGACTCCACAGGGACCATGGTGACACCAAGCAGGTACCTGCCATGATACACTCTAAGGTCCTGGTCATCTGATCAACCAGAGAACGGACCTACCCAGAGCATAGCCCAGGTCTTTTTTGACGCAAACACCTTTCTTTCTTCACCAGGAAAACTAAAGCATGTAGTGGAGTGGGGCAATATATGGCTGGGTCTCACCCCAATATACAGCTGGAAGCATTCAGGTATTAACCGGTTCAGATAAAACCAACGTGACTATGATTGAATAAGAACTATGAAGGCAGACAAGGCAGTGCGACACCTTCAGCAGACTGCAGCGGTGAAGAACAGTCAGCAGGGAAGCTGTAAGATAAGGGGATGTGGGATTTTCGGTGATGTGAAAAAGTTCTTCCCATAAGGTGAATCAACAGAAAGGTACCATCTATTACTGCAAAATATCACTGTGCCAGGAGCTAGGAGGTGAAAAGAGGTTTTGTCTGCCTTCTCCCTAGAAAAGATACCACCTTTGTCAAAGAAATCACAAAAAATATCTGTACTGTTACCTCAAAATCTTTCTCGGGTCATCTCTGCTTGTCAGCTTGATGATTAAAGTTGCTTTGGAGCACAAACTGCACAAAGAAGACATGTGAGTGTAGGATATAGAGGGAAAGGGACTATTTCCCCAGTGGTCAGAATTTAAGGGTACATCAAAACGCACAGAGCAGCACAGCACAGCAAAGATGCAGCTACCCAACCCAGCTATGCTTGGTCAGGAGAAACGGACATAAACAAAAGCTTTGCATGCACAAATATACATGAAGTTAGTTGACAGTGTGGCCCTTGTCGCTCTTATCTATAAGATAGATATATCTATCTTATATAGGATATATCTATCCTATGCACAAACTATAGGATAACTAAGAGGAAAACACACAGAGAAGAGTCAGGAATTAGTAACAAGAAACACACACCTGACTTGAACTTCAATGATATTTCCAGATGTGGCAAAGACATTTATGAGATCCAGAACTCCATCCTGAGAAATCCTGTTATGGCTGAGACTGCAAAGAAGAGAATAGGAAAGAATAGGAAAGTTCTTCAGATGTTAAGGGGGTTGTCTCCAAGCTCCTTGGCCACAGAAGCTAAATTCAAGTTGGCACTGAAGACAGAGCAGTTTGTGGAGTACAAGTCCCTTCCTGCCAGAGATAAATGTGCCAAACCCCTCCAAGACACAGTACCGACAGCTTAGGTGATAAAGCCAACTTCCAACTTGCCTGACTGGCACTACAGAGGCAGTCTGCAGCCTGCACAGACTCTTCTCCCATCAGAGAAGGACAAAGAGAGGCCAGAGTAGGGCACAGCTAAGCTCACAAGGCCTCTGTGCCCTGAGTTATTCAGAGGATAATGCTCACAGAGAGGTGATGAACGGAAAACTCAAGGGATTAGATCAACCTCTGTCATGCTACCCCGCTCAGGACCACATTAACTCCCACTGATGCCAAGAGAAAGACTGACTGACTTCAGCAGGCTTTGGATCAGACAGACCCTGAGTCACAGCCATAGCTCACTCTGACCTTGGCTTCTCCAGCAGGACTGGCTAAGAGGCATGCCAACCAGCACCATGAGGGATCCCACAGAGACCTTTCTGCTAGGCACCTCCTGCTCCCTTGGGGCCTCCCGCTCTAGAAAGGGCTCAAGAAATTCCCTGAACATGCAGATTCACAGTGCGTTTTCTTACTTGAGGGAACAGGTAACGGGTGCCTGATGCAAGCGGTCCAAGAGGCACCTCAGGCCTTCATCTCCCAGCTGATTCCTAGAGAGACTGAAAGGCAGAAGAACAAGGTGACAAACTGAAACTCAGCCTTTTAAGCAGTAGTGCTCCTCTAAGAAGCTTCCAAGGAAAAAGACAAACTTCCTGGGCTTAAATCCCAGCTCAGCCATTACAGTTCTGACTAATAGAAGCTGCTGCCCTACAAAACAGATGAAGCCACAGCATGAAATACAGCATGAAATACAGCAAAACAGTCACTGAGTAAAAAGCCCAAGGATGCTGTCCCATGCAAGCTCAAGCCCTCTCAAATACACACAGAGGAGCTGTGTGATTAGTAATTATCTTCTGCTTCTATATATTTTTTGACAGCACACCAGCATGCACAGACAGGCTGAGAAACCTAGGGCAATGCTGAACCACACTGACTCAGCTCTCCCTCAGCAACTCCTGCTCAAGGTCACAGGAACAACACAAGCTCCACTTACTCTACTTCTGCCAGCCACCCATGCTGCTCCAGGACTCTGCACAGCTCATCTATCTGCCCTGGACCGATGGCACAGTCAGTCAGTCTGTGTAAAAGACAACAAGAGAGTCAAAGCACATCCAGCAACCATGCTCAGCACGAGCACTGAGAGCCACCCATTACCAGCTTCTTTTTTACACTGGTCTCTGTGCAACATTTGGGTCTTTGATGCTGAATGCCTGACCCCTCTGCTAAGATGAATATCCTTACCTTTGCCAGTATTAGATGTTTCTCACAACACCTCCGTGAAGTTAGCAATGATCAACCCAATGTTATAGGTCGGAAACAGACCTTTTATTGTCCAGGTGGCTAACTGGAGGCATGTTACAGGCTTCTTTACAAGGACAGCAAGCACCCATCACTCCTATAGAAGCTGCAGATGCACTACACGTACATATCACACAGATGCTCACCTGGAGCTGATCACCCAGAATTTGAGCAACATGAGGAAAACGTGACAAACAGAGCTCAATTCAGTTGCCTGTGCAGTGGGATCTGATGCCATTCATGACAACCAGGCATAGTCCAATTGCCACTCAAGGTATGGGCCTCTGCTATCCCTAAGCATCTTAAATGGTACTTGCATTTAGGCAGCTGAATTGAGCCCCAGAGCCTTGGTTACTCGCCCTGCTCTTTGATTACCAGCCCGCATATCTTCATACAACTACAAGGTTTGGCTACTTGCACTAGTGTTCCAAGCCTAGTCAAAATAAGTGAATGTATAATTAAGTGTTCCGTGTCAGTACCTGCAGGATGTCTCTTCACTTTCTATGCTTGTTCCAAAATGCAAAAAAGCATTTTCACTTGACCTGTAGCAAACACAAAGACAGTCCTTCAACCAAGTTCTTCAAAGAAGACAAGCTCTGTATCCCCTTCAGAGCTGAGCTGCTGGGCTACAAACAGCCTCAGTGTCTTACCTCACTTCTACCCTTCTGATCCGCTCACAGAGATTGATGGAGTTGACCAGTAAGACAGTGCAACAAGGAGAGAAGTTATTTTTCCTAATACTGGAAAGGAGTGGAAAGAAAGAAGAATGAAATCAGCTCCCAGGAAATATGGCTCCTATACACAGGGTCTGATGTATACTCTGAGATGGAGAAGCTTGGATCCATCCCATTTAATTCAAGATCACTGAGTGAGGATCTGAAGCTTGAAGCTTGGGGTTCTCTCCATATCAACAAAGAGGGCAAGACATCCCCAGGGAGAGTTTCAACTCTCAGCTGAAACCTTGGCTCAGTTGTGCTAGATCACCCTTTGCAAGTGTTTCTTCATCTCCTTGGATTAACAAGAGGGCAGAGACCAAGGGTTTACACTGAAGGGCAGGCAACTGGATGGGAGAGACACTGCATTGAAAAGAACCTCCCAAGTGAGTGAATTCATTCTCCCAAGATGGCAGCTCCTCCACGCTGTAACACCTCACAAGAGACAACCAAGCTCCTGTGCTTTTTTCCCCAGTGGTGGGCTGCCCCAGCCCCGACTGCACCTCTGGGTAGATGCTTAATTCACAGCCTAAATAGCTGACGTGCTGCTAAGAAATACTTGGCGTCGAGCAGGGCAGGATGCCAGATCCCTGCGGAGGCAGAGCCATGGGGTGCTGGCCACACACAGGTGCTCTGTGTGTTGTTACTGTGTCTTCACCAACAAGTCCTACACCTGTTATGGATTCTGGAAGTGACCTTCCATGGGACCTGCATGAGGGTTAGCAGGGATGCTGGGCCTGGAGAGGGCATTTCACCTCCTGTCCTTTTTCTCCCCTCTATGTGTCATTAAAGAAGAAAGGCTTAGTGCTGCTTTGGTTCTAGAAACAAAACAGGTACAGATGTGAAAGAGTTTGAGGGAGCTAGAGTTTTCTTTGCATTGCTTGTTAAGCTACAATGACTGATTACTGCTTATAAGACACGCTGTGATAGTAGCACTTTCCAGATCAATGTTTCATGGCAACAATGAAAGCAGAGACCCCAAACATTACCTCAATAGTTTCAGATGACTGAGATAGGGCAGGAACGTCAGTAGTCTCTCAATGCACTTGTCACACAATGAATTTCCAGACAGACTGCAAAACATGGAAGAAAAGAAGTTCCAAGAGATGCTGGAACAATCTGCAAGTATTTCTTAAAATCTACATAGACATGCACATATACATATGCATGGGTGAGCCATGGGCAAATGCTGAGACAAGGGCATGTCCAGAAATGTGCTGAAAGTTGAGCCAGATTTAGTCCTTATAGACTGATCCCTAGAAGCGTTTCTTTATAACTAATCAAAATTCCAGTTTTAAGTTTTACTTCTCTGTTAAGTGTAACTTTATAAAATTATGCTATTGATGTATTTCCTGCATGCAATACTGGCATCATGCTATCTGCTATTATTCAGTTTTTGTTCTGAGCAATACTCTTTTAATTTTCTTGGCACCAGGCTCCTGTCTGCAGGAGTTTGGTTCATGGCTTACTGGGCAAGATGCTCTTGCTCTGGCTATATTGCAAGCCACGATCTCAAAGACTAGACAATAATAGCTGCACCTAGCCATATGACTGAGGAAGACTGAGCGCACATGTTTTCTGGGGTGTTTATACACAGACCTGGTAGACTTAGGAAAGGCCAAAATCTGTTTGATACAGAGAGGACAGTGCAAGGTGTGGATTTATCTAAACCTCTGGGTGAAGCCTTGGGGCATTTCTAGGAGGCTGTGGTGGGTCAACTCAGAGGTTCCATATGCTGCACAGGGACTGCTCTGAATGCTGTCTTCCAGCTAGCAGTCTGAGAAAGCAGCCCTGCTGGGCGAAGACGTTTCCCTGTCCTGCCCTGGGCTCCACCTGGGGAAAAGGAGATCTCACTTGCTCATGCCTTGCACACTGTTACACACAGCCTGGCTTTCTCCACCTGCTCCTCAGCAGTAGGTACAGGTCAACGGAGGACAGCAGAGTGATGCTAATTCATATCTGACCTGACTACTGTCTCTGCATCTGTGGGCTGGGAAGACAGACAGACAGACAAACAGGGTTGCTGAGTGCACAGCACTTACTCAATTTCTGTCAGCTGGGTACATTCAGCCAGGACCTGGCACAGCCTGGTCACGTCCTCAGGACCCATTGTGCAGTCCCTGAGCCTGAAGTAGATGAAGCACTCAGGAGCTGAACACTTCCCACGACCATGGTATGGCAACATTCCTCCCACCCCACCCCAAAATACTGCATTACTTGGGTGTTGCCTCCCTGGAGCTACATCACCAGCATTTAAATTGCCTTTAGAGATTGGGCAGCCTCTTCCCCTGCTCAGTACCATCTCAGTTCTCCTGGAGCAAGGCTGAGAATGGTGCCTCCTCTATCCTTCTCCAAAAAAAGGAACTGGAAAAACCTCCCAGCGTGACAAAGCCTGGCAGGTCTCCATGGGATGAATGCAGCAGCCAGCCAAGTCTGTATCTCATTAACTACAGGTGACAATCTCCCCCACAGGAAAGCAAGACAATGTCTAAGAGCTTGGCCAAGCAGAAGGTGCACTTTTTATTTTAACATACACACTTGCAGCAGTGTATGTCCCAAGTCTATCCCAGGAGGGGGAGGGTGTATTATTCACCTAACTGCCTTTGGAATATGACTCCATTCCTCCAGTGGCCACATAGCACAAATGCCTGTTGGCATAGGGCCGGGAATGATGCGAGCTGGCCTGGAAGGCTTTGCCAGATTATACCAGCCAAGACCTTCTCCCTTGTAACCAAGTGTTATTTTGGGGATTGGTCTCCCTGACCAGTTCCAGCACGGGAAGGAAGGGAAAGGACAGATATGAAAGATGGACCTTTTCTGGAGGTGTCTCCATGTGGAAAAGATGTCACCTCCCCCTCCCATTTCTGTGCCTGTTCCATCAGTCATGATGGGTTACCCACAGAGGAAAGAAACATCTGCTTTCCAAGAGAGCTGAACCTGCCCCTGAAGGTAGACAGAGCACAGGGCAGCTCTTTGAGGAGACACAGCTGGAGAAACATGTTGAGTCCCACACCTTATGCTAAAGATACAGACCCCACAGCCATCTCTCCTCACACTCCTGGGTGACAAAAGGAAGCTGGGGCTGCCATACCGAAAGCACTGGCCACTTGCTACAGGCTTGGGATGTGCCAGGAAACTTCTTCTGGATCTGCTGGTACTCCTGCCCCTGGGGAAAGAACAGTTTTCCCCCCATCAGCTGTGCTGATATTATTGCCTTCACGTAGCAGACTCCTCATCCTGCAGCTTGGGGAGTAGCTTCATGCTCCAGCCCGCCCCCCCACCTCCACCTGCCAGAATTAGGTGCCCATTGTCCCCAGAACAGAAAGAGTCTTACTGCCCCTCTCCCAGAGTCCAGAGAGCTCTGCATCCACTCTGCCCTGGCCCAGAAGGGGGATGACTATAGCCCCGATCAGCACCAGGACACTACAGTCTGCTCCATACCCTCAGACTGCTGTCAGTCACTCCCAAATGCATCACCCTGCTACTCCCTACTTCCACCACCCTGACTGGAGCTCAGCACCAAATTGCTCATTAATTGGGACACCTCAGGGACTCACACATCACCATCTTCATAAGACCTGGTGATGAAAAGCTTGAAAGGCTTAGACAGTTCAATGGGTGCAATTTTACCTGGTTCTTTCCCAAAAGGTTATATGAACCACCTGCGGGTGTCCTAAGCTGTAACAGGAAGAGAACATAATTAGCCCGGAGTTTGAAGACAAACATTCCTGTATTATTCCCTGAAAAACAGGTCCTTTGGCCTTAAATTGCACAGAAACATAGGAAGAATACTCCTGGCCATACCTGAGGTTCATTGTTTTAATGTGTTCCAGCGTAAACAAGGACCGAGCTAAGGAAAACACAGAGTTCAGAGAGATCTGATTGCCATTCAGCCTAGAGGAAGGAGAGATGAAATCAGCTGCTGGAAGCAAAACTATTAGCAATTTACAGTCACCCAATTAAAATAGAGATCCTTGTCCAACACTCAGAGATTGCTTCTCTATCACCTTGCTGCTCATGTTTCCAACTGCAGTTCTGCTCACACAACTCATTCCAGAGCATGTTAAAAACAGCCGTGGCTTTGAGAGTTCTTCCTACCTTACACTGATGCAAGGCAAGAATAATTCTTTGGCTGTCATGGCAGTATAAAACCCACAGTAATGAAGATCAGGCTCAGGTCTATTACATCTATCACAGTATCTAGTATGACAGCAGGTGGCCTGCATGATGCTGGAGGAAAAAAAACAGATGAACAGCAGCAGTGTGTTTCATGGCACTGAAGTGAGGAGCTGGAAACCATCAGTATCTGCATACGAGGAGTCTTGGTTTGAGAACAGTTCCATAATCAAACAGTAACAATAAGTAAGTACCTCTTTCAATAAAAAAGAACGGTGCTATAACACTCAACCCAGCTTGCACAGTGCATTTGTAATGGGAGTGCCATGAGGCAAAATACTCAAAAATATAAGCCATGACCAGAGCAGAATTCAGACTTCACTGCTGAAGCTGGAGCTCCCCAGCATTTCTCTTCCAAAGATGCTAGGCCCCAGAAGGTGAAAGTCTACTCCCCTCACCCACCTCATATGGAATGAGGAGAGGAAACACTTGGTGGCCTGTTAAAGATCTCGGTTTTAGAAACCAGGTAACATCTTCACACAAGACCACCTGCCTCCTTCATAATACTGAAGGCACAGCCTCTCAGGCCCTGATCTCCGTGAAGTTTCAAGTGGAAAGAGTCTGTCCTGGACCAGAGATGAGGAAAGACCAGACAACACAGCGGGATCTACCCTTGACAAACACAGAATATAGTGTCTGTATCAGATGCTACACTTGATCCTGAATAGCCCTTCCCAAACCCGGACTGTGCTTCAACAACCAATACTCCTACAAAAACCTATCTATAAACAAGGAGAAACAGGAGCTACTTACTTGAGTGAATGTAACATTTTCAAATTTGGGAGGAACTGAAACAGCTGCCAAAGGCCCTTGTCTCCCAGAGCATTATTTGATAGGCTAGGATTTAAAGGAGGGTATTTAGTTTTTACAAAGAAAAAAAATAAGACCATAGACAGCTCTTTATACAAAGATCTCTGAAAGCAGAACACTGGCACCCTAATTCAAATAACATATGCACTGCCCCTTCACCACTGAGAACTAAAACCTACACGGAACCTTGGGGCCGGAGTTATACCAACACAGGAGAGCTAAAAACCTAGCTCAGGACCCCTCTGGACTGAGAGCACTTCTTCCTGCAGTTACCAGGAGGCCACAGGTCTGAGAAATGATCAGCCTGGACAGGCCCAACAGAAATTAGTCCTGGAGAAGGAATCCTTAAAACTGATGATATTAGCGCCTAAGGATTAAAATGGGCTATGTGTCCATGTCAGATCCAGAGGCATGATCACTTATGAAGAACAAAGGCTAAAAATCCCTCTCACAGACTGACAGGCTTAAGGGAATAGCCAGCCCCCAAGGCTGTGTTACACAGACTACATGATTCACTGGTCCTTGTTCTGCCTTCAAAATCTAGGTAGGTGTGTGCGTTGCTAGCATGATGCACATCTCTCCATCAGTGCTGGGTCTGCTGACCTCCAGGTGTTAGCAAACAGAACGACTCCTCCTAAGTAGCCCTAGCAGAGGCAAACACTTTGGTGCAGAAGGTCCTTGCACATGGTGTGTGCTGTGGGATCACTAGCAGAGCACAGCTCCCAACCCCAGCTTGGATAGGATTCTTCATCTCCTACAACTTTGCTCCTAAATGCAAAAATTACATGGCAAGGCTCGTGTAATACCTGAAGTCAGGCAACATGATCAAATAGTAATAGTTCCCTTCTGGATTCATAACCTATCATCTTTGCCCTAAGAGAGCACTATAACTGTATGTCTCCTTGGCAAAGGAAGTAAAAAAACCATATCTTTCATAAGGCTATGTCTCTAGCAACCTCTATGGAGAACACTGCAGGACAGACAAATGGCATTTTCACAATATCCCAACAAACTGCAGCTATAGACCATGAGAGCAACGAAGGACTCACTCCAGCTCTGAGATGCTGCTACATTCCTTCAGGACTGCGTACAGCTTCTCCAGGTTGCTGACTTGAAAATGACTGTCAGTCAGTCTAGTAGGAAAAAAAAAATCAGTGTCCCAGGACTGCAAGATTATAAAGACTGTAAACTTCACTCCTTCAGAAAGCCAGATAATTAAATCAGGAGACGGTCTAAAGGTTGTGAAATTAATAATTCCCTTGAAACATCTTGCTTTTATTGGCTGCAACAACCTATGCTTAGGCTCTTGTCTGCAAGAAGAGAGTAAAGAGATGAACTAAAGCTCAAAGGAAACCCGTGGCACAACGAATCAGGTCCCCAACATCCTGGTTAAAAGGCTTTAGGTACAACTTTTTCATTCCTCTCTGCAGCCTACAAAACAGCTGGGCACACTCCAAGTTGTAGCTGGAGCATAATCTGATATGCATCCAAAGGTGGGTCCAGCTCAGGATTCATTTCCAAAGAACAGCAGCAAACCCCTCCAACACCATGAGCTCTGTCACTGCCAACTGCCCCCGCTCTGACACGGGAGCTGATTCACTAACCACACAGTCACCATGTCCATTCTGTGAACGAGAGACGATAACCCAGACTCTTGTAGAAGACCACAAATGCTTATCACAGAGCTTACTGCACTGCAAGCTGGGACTGTGAACACAGTGTCAAACAACTGACTGATGGGGACTGTACCGGCCCTCTGTGATTTATCATTCAACTTGGAATCACTTGGATATGCTGGTTTCATCAGCTGTAGAATCCAGAGATTGGTAATACATGAAAATTGGCCATGCTACCTTATTTTTTTTGAAGCAGAAGCTGTCTGGTTTTCCTCTCCATCTTCTGGGTCACCAGTAGAGAATACTAGCTCTCTCCTAGTAAGTGAGCACAAAACCAGAACAAATCAAGGGTAAATTACTTACACTTCAGCAATTTGGGAGATCCTTGGGGCTCACGTGGCTCTAGCCCACACTCTTATCTTGCCAATTATATCTTGCCTGTGACTAATCAAATACTTGAGAGGGCAGGCAACTGGGTGAGAAGGGGAAGAAATACAGATTTCCCATCTGAGCTTCAGTTTGATGGAGAAATCAGCTTTTGCCCAAACACATTTTGAGAAAAGCATTCACATCTGTGAAAAACTCTGGTTGCTCATGAATAAATGCAATGTCCAAATCACAAAATACCTGGGTTTGAAAAGTCATCTGGTGCCTTACAGGTGTCACAGGTCACGTACCTCAGGCTGTCATTCTCCTCCAAGCATGGCCACAGCAACTGGGTTGCATGCCATGATAGCCCTACTCTTCCTCCCTGGCTAAGGGGTAAGATGCAGGTGCATCATGGGAATTGCTGTTTTACAGTGGGTTCAGTCCATCGAGAACAAGGGCATAAATAAATGGGCCTATGGCTCCCACAAGCATCAGGGGACCATTTCGGAATCAAAAAGCTGGGCTGAGCTGTTTTGATCCATGATTTTCTGAGGGGAAAAACAAAGGCCCAAACTTATTTTAAGTTAGGAGTATCATAACCCAGAATGCATAGTGTACTGAACTAGATTCTCCTAAATGTGCAGGGATCTGTGAATCTGTGAATCTGCTGGGAATTTGGTTTAGGGTTGGGGGGGGGTTGTTTTTCTTTACTGTTCACTATTATCAGATAGCACAGCTGTCATTACACAGCGTGCTTTGCTTAGGATGCTATGGGTGAAACATGCTCTAGAGACGTAAAACATAATCAAATACTGTAGAAGCTCGTCAAGAACTTCCAAAATGACTGAGAAAACCAGGAGAAAGTACTACCTTTAGATTCAGTGGAAGACCAAAGGCAAGAATTGCTGTGAGATGAGGCATTACCCTTTGGCTCTTGAAACAGGATCTGAGACCTAAACAGGATGCTAAGGAAAAAACATCTGCCCAAACATACTCTACCTGGGATGAGGAGAAGCAGATTCACTGTCTCCTGTAAACCTCAGGATTGCAGTCTTATGCCAAAGGCTGAGGGAGGAAGAGAAGAAGTTAATCAGCATGACATTTTGGTTATTTAGATGCGTTCATGTTTTATGAATGATTGATTTTGCTGTAGATCTGTTCAAAACTCTTTGCTGCCACCAATCACTTAAAATATTCCCACAGCAAGCAAAAGAGCATTCCATCAGTTTTAAATCCTAGGTGGATCAATTTATCTAGTATCAGATGACTCAGTTTCTCAGAACCATTCAAAGAGAAGGTGCAGACAAAATTGTTGCACCTGAAAACAACCCCAATGTGTTTCCAAAGGAAATTTATAGGAGGAAAACTTCCTGCTCCACTTCAGGAGAGATCACCAGTTCTTACGCTCCACAGAGAACCTCTCTCCAAAACTTCTCAGGGCAGAGAGCAGGAAAAAGTCTAGAACTGTCCCCATGCGTGAAAGAACATGCAGTCCTGTACCCTAGGCTCTCTCAAATTCTTCTGGTTGATGGCTCAGATAAGAGCTAACTTACAGCAAGGTAACAAATCACCATGTTTAAGTGCTAGCAACTATGTGTGTACATGTTCTTTGCCCACCCACTTCTGAGGTGACTTAGCACAAATCTCAGAACCGCACTCTCAGACTTGTACAATTCTTCAAGACTTATGTACCTGACTTCTGCCTCCATTATCTTCTGGCAGGTATTTACTGACTTCAACAAACTGCAGATGCCATCAACAGACAGGTGGTTTTGACTGAGACTAAGAAAGAGAAAAAAGACAAATAGCTGGTCACCGAAATCACACATGCTGTAAGTGCAAGGAAGGATCATGCTGATGGAAGTGGCCATTAATATACTGCATGCTTGAACCCACTTCACCTCAAAAGTGACATGATGGAAAATAGACCACTATTTCTGAGAAAGTGGTTTTAACAAAACCACTTTAGCACTTCAGATGCATTTAGAACAGCTTCTGCATGTGACGCTCTGGGCACGTGAGCAACTTCAGCCTGAACAGTCTCACAGGCTAGGACTCATCCTTCTTTGAGAGTGCTCAGGGCTGCTCCTGCAAAGCTTTCACCACCTTGATCCCTGCTCAGCATCTCTGCATGGTCTGTGCCAGCTTCAAAAAAAAAGGGCAATCTGGTTTTGTACAAGGCAACACTTACTCCAGCTGCTTCGAAATCGATATCCAAGGGAGGCTTTTCAGCAGCCAGCTGCAGCCTTCATCTCCAAGCTTGTTACCTGATAAACTGAGGCATTTTTCCAGTTAGTGGGAACTGTTTTGAACAGTACAAATAAAAAAAGTCCTCAAAATCTGCTTGCTTTCCCTCTCTTACAACTGTTTTCTTGCCTGGACTGCTGTTCTCTCCCAGAGCAATCTCCCCCATCTCCCCTGCTTCTCTCTGCAACTCCGGACAAAGAGTTTTATTCCTATGACAACATCGCATGTTTAGGTCCAGAAACATCTTACTTTAGAAAACCTGGGAGGGAACAGGCAACAAAAAACCACTTGAGTGGATGGTTATTGCCCTCCTGGAAGGAAAGAAACATTGGATAAGAAAGACCTCCAGAGCCCACCTCAAGTCAGTGACAAGAAAGCTAGGCTTTGGGGGTGCAGCTAAATCCAAGATACAAGCTGGACTGAACTGCCTTACAACAGCTATTCCCAAGCCAGCACAAACCAACTAGAAGGACAGCTTTACAGCTAAATCCAGGTGGCCCCACAGGCAGGCAAATAAGGCACAGTGGGGCTAGCACTCCTTGCAAAAGTTAGGTTACGGAGTAGATCCCTTGCCTTCCTCCTCTCACTTCTCCCAGAAGCGCTGAATGGCCTTAGAAGACAAAAGGGACAACACACAAACCATCTGTCATCCCTTCACGGGATCCCAGGATTCTCCAGAGCTCTCGCAACTCCGCATTGGCTCCAGGGTGCTGCACTGCTTCATTAGCAGGGTACGCTCTGTAACTGGCGTCTCTCGTTACAGCCCAGAGAGCCAGAGGCTGCAGTGGTCACAGCAACCCCACAGTTACTCGGTAGCCGTCTCCTGAACCACTCTAGAAATCCTCAACCAGGATCCCAGCAAGCCTAACAGAGTGCTGGGTTTCCTGCTTGGGGCTGGGCCCCTGCCCTGTGTCTCACTGCCAGCCTCTCCACAGCACATCCCCTGCTCCCCCCAGCCCCAGCTACCTGTAGCAACACAAAGGGAAGGAAATGGGGCACTTACTCCACTTCTGAGAGACGGGGACAGCTCTGGAGAATGGCAACGATCTCCTCTGCATGCTGAGGACACAGGCTGCGACCGTGCAAGCTGTGAACAGAAAGTGAGCAGCAAGGGAACGGCAGGCCCCCGGGATTCCTGGGGTCCTTCTCCGGGCAGAGGAACACAGAACCAATGCCAGGAGATGGAGGTTTTACACCCTGCTCCGCCTCACAACCCTGGGCGTATTGCTTTGGCTCTCTGTGCTCTTTGCTGCAAAAGGAGTGTGGAGGGCTGCGCTTGGAAAGTGCTGTGCAAGTGCAAAGCCTGGTTTCAGCACCACATGGCACTGCCAACCACGTGAAAGGGGCAGACGTGATTGTTGCTGTTGCGCTGAGCCGTGAGGACAAGAGAAGGAGGTATGGAGGGACATGGCCCAGCTTTAACATGCTCAGGCAACATGCTTAAGTTCTCCTATTCTGAGAAAAGCCAGCAGTCTCTTATGGAGCCCAGGCCAGAAAGAAAAACATATGGCTCACACCTTTGGTAGCTACAAGAATACCTGGCAAACTGGATGGCCAAAGGATCTCTGCCCCTCTGGGGCTGCAGAGCCCAACACAACAGAAGTGAAGCCACTAGTATGGCCAAACAGGGATTTTTATTTTTCTTTTAATTCACTGACTTAGGTTTATTTCTAATGTTCTCTTATGTGGAGATACTCTTTGCCCTTAAGGATAAACACAGCTGATAGATCATATTAATCAGCAGGGATTTCCATGCTTTCTCTTACCATAACTTCAAATGTCTAGTTTGAGTCACATGTTCCTTATTCTCTTCCCATCTCAAATCCAAAGATCTGCAAATAAGAGAAATATTTGGCCTTTAATATGCCTTCACAAAATATCTGAGGACTTAGGAGCTTGTTAGTATCTTCTGGAAGTTTTTTGGAAGAAACCATAGGGTCTGCGTTCTCCTGCCCAGTCCTACCAGGCAATGGTTGAGAGGTTTTCTAGAGCCCGAAGACCTCTGGCAGGAGGGGTGACCAGTCAGCACAAGGGGTATCCACGTGGGGTTTCACTACATATCTGAATCAACTTGATGCTGAGCCCGCATACAAAGGCTTTGCTGAGATGCAGGATGTTTTTGTCTCAGACATGAGACTGCACCACCACAGGAGGTGATAAATGCATCCGCCTGCACCAAGAGGACCTTAGGCTGTCTTAAAACAGCACAAGACAGCTGTTCAGGCATCTGAATTGGAGCAGTTTCTAGCTGACTCAAGGCCAGGCAGAGCCAGTTCACACACGCCTGTGAACACCTGTGAAGTCCCATGAGGACTGCACAACACAGGGCAAGGGGAGTTTCCTATCTGAGAATGAGAGATTGTTTCACAGTTTCTTAATTAGGATCAAATTCAGCCTCCCTTCACAAGTGTGCACAAGCATGGAGAACATAGGAGCCAGCCAGAAAAGGGCTTCTGCTCTGCTTAACTCCACTGGCTTCAGCATCAGCAGCTTTGCAACAGAAATGCACCACTTCAGACTTACAGAGGCACTAAGGCACTGCCTTTGTGGACCTGGCCAGCAGGTCTGTGCAAAGACCTTCTCTTTCAGTTTACCTTCTTCAAGTAATCCTGTTGCTGGGGTGGTTACAGTGACACCAAGCTGATGGTCTGAATCCGTGTAACTTTAAATAAAGCACGACACCAAGCACAATTTCTCACCTTGAAACTTTTCCAGATTGGCCAGAAAAATGTATTATCACGGTGTCCTTCCTGAAAATGAGATCCAAGTCAACGTTACGGCACGGGTGGAAGGATGACACTTCTTTTGTAGAGGTGCTCAGTAAGGACAAAGGTTGTGCTGTCTGCTAAAGAGGGCTTTCACATCTGCCATTATAGCACACTCCCACAAGCAAGCCAAAGAGCGGCCGCCGGGTTAGAAAGCAGCAGGATGTCCTGCATGTTGAACTGGGGCTGCAGCACACACAGAGAATAACAGAGTTAAATAGAAACGGGTTGGGTGGTTTTTTGCAAGGCCAGCAGTTTGCTGGAAAGAGGTTCAGTATTCTTAAAAAGCTGTATTCTTAAAAAACAATATGACTTTCCTTGAGTTACATCAAGGATTAATGTGGCCTGTTAAACTTGCAACATAAGCCAATCGTAAGAGTTAAGATTCAAAAATTCTCCCCCTCCTCTATCATTCTGGACCTATGAAAACAATCAAAACCCTTAATGTAAAGGAATGCTGAGATAGAGCTACATACATTCAGACCTTTTTGGTAAACCAAGGTGATTTATAGCACATTTATGGTGGCCAGTAAAGAACTGTGGCCCAGCTGGTATACTGTAGAGCTTAAAAAAACAAGTTTAAATCCTCTGACATATGAAGAGATACTGCACACTGCAAATCAATCTCTAAACCAAGGATAAAATGGCCTATTAGAAAAAAGATAAACAGTAAGTCTGTAATATAATTTATTCAAATTGTTTCAATCACCCAGCAGAAGAAAAGAGCAAAACTCCTTTTCCATTGATCTTGTTTACTAAACAAGAAAGCTGCAAACAGAGTCATTTTTAAAGACAACCTGTGTTTTTAACAGCTCTTATATACTGATACCTGACATGCAGTTCAGTAGCACTTCGACATGCGACAACTTCCTTGGCCAAAGCGAGAACAACATTCAAGGAAAGACTGTTGTAGCTCAAGCTGTGAATACCAGGGAGAACACAATATCAGCTGCTGGACCCAACAGCATACTCCTTTGTCGTGCAAATGCACTCCGCTTCACACCCCAAATACCTTGAAGCACGGGGTCCCTCCAAAATTTTAGAATTGTGCATTTAAAGACCCAACAAAGACATTATCACAATTCTTCCCTCCAAGTTATAGTTCCCATAAATTTAGAATAAGAGACAATTCCTATGAGTGCAACAGAAGAATCAATAACCATTTTTGGCCAAAAATGTAAGGGATGCACTTTATATCTTATGACTACACAACTGATCTACACTGCAGAGTTAAACTCTTACCATAGCAAATCAAGTACTTTAAGTATGGCATATTAAAGCACGGTCTAAGCTCTTCCATTTAAAATATCCCTGAAATCATGATGCTAGCAACCTCTGAGGATTTATTCTTTAACCACACATTTATGCTGTTTCTTTCTTGCTTCTACAAATCCTGTGCCTGTTTTCAGGGCTACAGAGTACCGTTCCCACAGACCTCAAAGGACTCATCTATGGCAGTAACACTGTATGTGCGTAAGAGAAATGTGCGAAGCAACGAGGAGGCTTACAATTACATTGGCTTCCTACCCTTTCCATACACTAAACCGCTTCACTGGGGACGTGCTGGCATTTCTATGAACCTGTTATCCAGTGTCCAGCAGAGCGGAGGAACAGGTGCATTCCCCCTTTTCTCCCTCTTTCTGCCATGCTTTTAAACACTTCCCATCATACTGAAAAGCCAGTAATGAATTAACAGATGGGGGTCCAGCAATAACTGCAGAGGTATTTTGGGTTCACCTGCTTGCATGTGGGGGAATGGGTAGTGCACCGAAATGCAAAATGTGATACTCACAGCACCTCTGCTCTGCCTGTTGCTGCTTAAGCTGCCCCTACTGGTCTTTCAAAGGCAAAAAGATGGTAAATAAGGTGCATAGACTAATTTCCCAATTATCTTCTTCCCCTCATGGGCCTAAATAGAGGACTGCCTTTGTTTAGGGACCTTCTCCCTTGCCCTCTTCCTGGCTTTGAAGCCCTTCACAGATCACGCTGGTTCTTTCCACCTGAAGAGATGTAGATCTACGTGGGAGTTTTCCTAGTGGTCAGTCCTTCTCATTCAAGCACTGTGTTGTGCAAGGAATTTTAATCAAAGTGGGGTCTCAACACAGGGAAGCGGCTAAAGAAAAGGCTGGGAAGGCAGCGATGGAGCTACCTGCTCTTACACATAGGGATGAAGTGTCTCAATCTGAGCCTGACCGAGAGGAAAAGAGGTGAGGAGGAAGAAGTTGTGCCATGCACCAAGTTGAGCGTAGGCCTTGTAATTCCTAGAGAGGTGTCAGCGGTGGCAGAGCTCCCTAGGAACTGTTTTTAAATAGCTGGGTCAGTAACTGCCTGCAAATGTGAAGCTGAGTTTATCTCAAACTAAGCCGCACCACCTCCAGCATAGCCCCATCTGCATGGTGAAATACCTGCACCGCAGGCTACTGCCCCACATGTCCTCCAGTGGCACTTCTGAGAGTGTCACCCCTTCCCCAGGCATCCAGTTCCTCTGCTCTGGTACGGACTTAAACCCTCTCTGATGCTCTGCTTGGTTTCTCAATGCCCGCCATAGGTTTAAGCCATTTTTACTCACTCTATTTTCTTTAGCTTTTCCATTCTGGCAAAAACATCCATCACCCTTTTCACCTCCAGGTCCCGTATCCGATTGTCCTGCAAGCTGCACACAGATTGTCTCATCAGTATCCCAGGCCCCCAAGGAACAACCAGCTGATTTGAGTGGTGTTACCACCACACACTCACTTTATTTCCTCAAGCTGGAGGCAATGTGATGAAGCCTGGACCAGGTTAGATAGCCCCTTGGCTGTGATGATCCCACCTGTCAACCTGGAAAAGAAAGAATCATTCAAAAGAAGCACAGGGGAGACTGGCACCCGATGGAGCACATGGTGAAACCTCTCAGATGTGTGCCTGAGCCACATGCCCAGTACACACACACAGAGAAGAAGTGGCCTGACTCCATTGCCCACAACCAACTTCAAACTCTGTTCAACCAGGGCAAAATTTGACCCACTCTTTGCTGTGTGCATTCATCCCTGGCAGCTCACAGACTCTTGTGGGTGCCAGAAGCTATTCTCTCCCCGCTTTGCAGTCTACAGAAGGCTGACAGGAAAACCTACCCTAAACCACTTCCAAAAGAAAGCTCAGCTTGCAACCAAAGCAGGCTTGTAACCAAGCCTGTGCCAAATACCCTGCCTCAGCCACTGGAGACAGCCGCTATTATTCCTATCTAGACCTCAAAACCCAGGTGCAGTCTCCCACCTGCTCTTCTCTCATTTGCACAGCCAGGCCGTGTCTAAATCCCACCATTCATCTCTGCCTGTGAAGCTTTTGCAGCTCTCTTCATTTTACCTAAGCTCAGGGGCGGAGGGTATGCCCTTTACTGTGGATGTGCATCTGAGGCTGGGGTTTCTCTCCAAGGGGCATAAGATTGCAGACGGCTGCAGCTTTGCTAACCCAACGGCTTTAAGAGTGGGGGGTTGCAGCAGTTTTGCTAGTAAGGAAACCACCGTTCTTTCCAGGCCTAGGACGTGGCAATGCAACAGCAGAAGTCTGCTAACGTAGGCATCACTTCCAAGGATGGCCACAGACCTCTAGAGCTCAGTGTTTCCTCTGCTTCTGCTCAGAGCCACTCAACTGCTGTCATGACTGTGCTGCTCCCACCACTGTTTCCCCAGGCGCTGCGAGTGACACTCACACAGCAGATTCACAGCTCTCACCAGGTCATTCTGCTCTGCGAAGTCAGGCTCTAGATCCAGTCTTCAGCCTGATTTAAGGTTCACCACCAGGAAAACCAGCCCCGTAGCTGGCTGACTCCCAGCTACAGCCCATCCCTTGCACAAAACTGCCATCAGTAATGCAGGGCCTGGGTAGCCTGCCAAGCCAGCTTGTCTTCCAAGGAAGCACTTGCTCCTGCAAGACCCCAGTAATGGCACAGCCTGGACGAGGGCTGAGCAACTTCTAACATTCACAGTGTGCAAGAGTAGCCAGGCCTCAGTGAAGTCACTACTCTCTTATGCAAGAATATTTCTGTAGAGACCCATCGCAAAGCACTTACTCAAGCCAGCTTGGCTAATCGCAAACCCTTCATCTCATTTTCTTGCTGATACCTCCTCTTCTTCCACCAGCACTAGAAAAGGAAGCCTATGGTTTAACCCTGGTATCCTCCTGCCAGTTCTCTTTGCCCTCGCTCTCTCTGTGGCTGAATGGAGCTTGATTGAAGCTCCAAAACAAATCAAAACAGCGTTTTTCAAGGTTTTTTTGTGGGGGATAGTCCTCAAATCAAAGAGCCACCTACTCTTTTTGAAAATAATCTGCTAGCCACCTGGCACCCTGATCTGTGCACGTGCATCAAGAGAGCCAACTCTCTGCGAAGAGTACTGACAGGCCCTGGAAACCAGCTTCTGGCAGGACCTGCGGGCAGAAAAAAATAACTCTTCTCTGCCAAACACACGGACATGCATGTGCAGAAGGGGGTCTTTTATCTGCAAAATATACACCGACCCCCAGTATCCGACACCACTACTGTGAGACAGACTGAAGGCCAAGTGTTCCCTAAGGAAGCTACTGCCTTTTTTGTGTGCAGTGGAGCACAAATACTCTGGTTGCAGAATTTGCAGTCGCCTTCCCCATTCCTCCAGCAGTCAGCAGTGCAATACCCCTCTTGGTATTGGGTAGCAGCACAAAACAAGAACCACATGTATCTGTGCTGCTTTCTCTGACACCACATGACTCTCTCTATGCTGCACTGCACAGAGCAGATGAGCCCAAAGTGAGCAGATGTAATTAAGCTGCAAGATGGAAATACATCAGAAGAGGCCTCAACCTTACTAGCAAACACTTACTCGAGCTTCTTCAGGCTCCCCATTTCTCGCAGGCTCCTGGAAAGAGCAGCAGCAAAGTCATCTCCACACCTCCTACTCCGAAAGCTAAAACATGAAGAAAAAAAATAAACACAACAAAGAACAAAAGAAACTAACCTACAGAGTATGTTAAAACATGATAAAAAGGAAAACGCATTGAATTTCTACGGTAACAGCCATTACATCATCTTCTTCTCTTTTGCAGCCTCTTTATCTTTTCACATAACTGTTTAAGAATACCTCTTAAATTCACACACCACCTAGTGCAAGTACCTCAAGAGGAGAAGGCCCCTGCCTTTTGGTACAGTGACACCACGTGTAATTGTTGCCATCTATGAGGAGAAGGCACAACTGCACATCCCTCCAGAGTCTGGACTCCGGAAATTCATTCTTGACCTAAGGCCAGGACCTGCTCCTGGTCACGTCTAGGCAAACCGAATTCTCTCAAACTGAGAATGTCTAAAAGCCCCTTTGTGATGAGTCACTGAGTTAGAAGAGGGTTGGATTCAGTCCAAATGCTTTAAGCTCGGGTGACGGTATAGCCAAAATTGTCTAGAATATAAAAGGCATGAGGTTTACAGGAAAACGCACCTCTTTTATAGAACCCACTGGTGGCATTGGAAAGAAAACAGTCAAATAGGTAAGCTTTCAGGGCAGACAAGCCCTTCTTTGAATCAGTTCCTTCTCTTACGGGCTGCGTCTTTTACGGTATGTACAGGGGGTCCTGAGAGCAGAATCCCATCTAGGGTCCTGCTGCCATAAGTGCCTCTGTCACCTTCTCCTAAAACAGAGGGAATCAGGAACAAGCTGCAGAGGCGAGACAGCATGTTGCTCTCCAACTCAGCCCTCTCTGCTGAGTCTCCTTATAATCGACTAGGCCCAAGGTCATTAGGAACAAGCCTGAGGCAATGCTTCTTCTTTAGACTGGTTTTAAACAAGCAAGAAAGCAGTTGACATGCTTGGGGACCCACTGCCCTTTACCTGCTCTTCCAAGACAGAGTACTGAGTGCTCACATGCTGAGGACCGTTAACTGTAAGCAGGCACAGACTCAAGGATGTATGAGCCTCGGAAGGACCCTCAAAAAAACACCTCTTCTCTTAATTCTTAATTGGAATAATCTTGGAACACCCCCACCAACCTCAGATGTCTGCCTAATCTGTTCTTCGAAAACAGAAAACTCTACACATTGCCCTAAGGCCTGTGTCAGAAGAGTTGGGATGTACCATCAGAAAGCTTTTCCATCAGTTAATTAAACAGTAGTCCTCTCCTCCTTAATGGAGGCACAGAAGAACTGATTGCTGCCCTTTTTACAATGATTTCAATATCCAGGTTTTCATGTCTCTGTTTACGCTTCTCTACTTTGGAGCACATGACACCATTTCCTTCAGCCTGTTCACATAACTTTGGGGGATTTTATACCTTTACAATCATTCCTGACACCTTCACCAGGCAAACGCCAGCCTCCTCCCTCTGCAATAAAGCGCAGAGCTCTCAGCCAGGTCTGGTCCTTTGAACCTTCTTCCAATAGGCCAAGATCATTGAGAATTCCCATCCTGGCTCCTTCCCATCTTCTCCACATTAACCAACTCTAGACATAATCCTCCGAATCATTCATAAAAATACAGAATGAGATCAGTCCTACAATAGGATCCCAAGAGATTCTCCTTGACGAGTTCTTCCAACATGACAGCAAAGCATTGACAGAGTGTAACTGTGTTTTGACCAGAAGTTTTGACCAGTGACAGAGTGCAGCTGTGGCCTCCCATTCATCTAGCTTCTGGTGATTTCACTTAGATCACAATTCTCTCATTTGCATGTGAGAGCCTTCCTACCTTTCTAATGTCAAGAAATACCTACCATTTTCTCCCTTATCTATTAGGCTAATTATCTTGCTGTTTGATTGCTTTGGTCAAAACAAAGAACGAAACAAAAAAACATCCAGAATAGATTTATCATCCTAACACCCTTCAGTCACTCATAAATTCATTATTTAATAATTTTCTTCAGTATATTTTCGGTACCAAAGTTAGGCTGCCCAGACCAGATTTTCTCTCATAACTGTGCCTCCCTTTTAAATCCTTCCAAACCCTTAACCCCTTCTCTCAGCCCATCAGCAAAAAGCACATAATGTGTTTACCTCAAGTGCGCTACATTTTTACAGTGGGCCAGAACTTCCAAACAGTCAACGTCCATGGGACATCCTGCAAAATCCAGATAAGTCAAATCCTGGCCCGAGTTTATGACAAAAACCAAAGCTGACATGTCCAGAGGCATCAGTCTAAACTTTTTAAACTCGTACTTGAAATTCAGCAGGCTCCCAATGTGCTGCGCTACTTCAAGGTCTTGCGTTTCAAATGTGCAATGGCAGAGCTCAATGACCTTAGGCCCTGTCAGATGAGTGGCTGCCAGCCTCTTGAGAGACTGCAGGATGGCGTCTTGCTTATCCTGCACCCAAGCTTCGTCTTGTTCAGCCAGCAACATGAGGAACGTCCTACACTCTTTTGAAGACAGGCCTGAGAGAAAGATGTGAAAACTCTCCATGAACTCCGTCTTTGCTTCATTCTTTGAAGTCCACTTTGACTTCAAAGAGAACTTCTTCTTCAGGTAGTTCTTGTCTACTCTCTTACTTATCATGAGACATAGTGCTGCAAAAAACTCCTGCAAACTCAAGTGCACAAAGGCATAGCCAGCCTCTGGGGGACTGCCACTTGTCTTTACCTCAAAGACAGTCAGCAGTCCATGTAAGGAAGCAAATTCTTTCACGTGCTCTGGAATATCACCAACATAAAATACAAGCTTCTTATCTTCCAGGCCTTTCAAGGCAAGATCACACAGACCCAAAATGGCCTTTTTGTTACAGTTCAGCTGAGTCTCCTCACTGCCTGCATGCTCTCCCTGCTGTTTGTTTATGAAGATGAGAAGCATTTTGATGTAAAACTGTGTCATAGTCTGAGGAAGCTCCACACTCATCTGATGTTTAAGGAACAAATATTCCAGACAGATGCAGACAACATAACACAGAGCAGGGATCAGACACATGCTGAGGAGCTTGGTGTTGTTCTTCAGGTGAGCAATCACTTGTTCTTTGAAAGAATGCTGATGAAAATAGTGGCTGACATATTCCTCAACCTTCTCGTGGTCAAATCCCCAAATTTCTGCTAGCAAATCTACTGTGTTTAGTAAGAAGTCAGGTAGTCTCTTAGGTCGGCTGGTGACCAACACTGTGCAACCAGGCAGAAGATTGCCATGACAGAGGTCTGCAAAGAGCTCAGATATAGACATGCAGCTCGGGAGGGCTGGGCATCCCTTAGCAGAGGATGACACGTCCATGTTATCTGCAAACTCATCCAGCCCATCAAAAATGATCAATGTACGCTGGGCGTTTTCCAGGAGTTGCTGGAACACTGCATCAGGGCTGTCTTCTGGCTGAAGAAACAGGTCAAACAAAAGCTCCTTCAAAGTCAGTTTTCTTTTTAATAAATTCAGCTGCCGAAACTCAAACAGGAAAGCGAGGAGAAATTGAGGCAAGACACCTTCTGCCCATTTCTGATATATCCTGTGCATTAACATGGTCTTGCCCGTCCCTGGTTTGCCAAATAAAAAGATCACCTTAGTGGTACCTGACCGAACAACACTGTCAAACAGATCTGACACTTTCACAGCTGTATCCACACATTCTTCTGTTTCTGGAGTAAGTGCCACATCCTCTCGGGGCTTATCTGTTCTCTCTTTTAATCGAGAAGCTTTGCTCTGCCGAATAACAAGGTTGACAAAGGCTTGGTTGAAAGTCGGTGGCTGCATTTGTCCTTGTGTTGGTCCAGCTGCTCTCCTACTTCCATATCTTTGGCAGACTGAATTAACGAGGAGATGCCGGTACCTTTCAGCTGAATCTGAGAGAGAAAATGTCAGAGTGAGGATGAGCGCAAAAATGTAAGCTCTCAGCCATGACTGATCAGAAATACTGCCACTCACACACAAAGAAACACTGGCCCAGATCAGAGGCTGTTTCATGGAATCAGCCAGAGAGGATAAATTTGGAAAAGCATGAAAAAAAAAAGTGATTTCTCCTATTTTTGCACAGGGGCTGAAAGAGGAGAAGAAAATTCAGTAGGCATATGTGTAACTCCCTGCTCACTCATGCTGGCCTTGTGCCACACTTGCTCAACTTTCTGCATTTTGGAATGGACCTGTCTTGTGTTTTGAGGTTGTCTTTGAAGATTTTGTAACACGGGATTTCTTCATTACCTCCCTCCCTCCACCCTTTCCCCCACTCAATATCTATTTCCAGGGCTACATACTTCTTTCTGATGCTTTTATGCACATTTCTCCATGTGCATTTGAAACAACACTCCAAGTCAATCACTTGGCCCTGGGGATAGCCAAGCAACAGCACAGCAGTACATCTAGCCAAACAGTCATGCAATAATAAATTAACAAACCAACCAGCAGACTCCATTCACCACAAGTGACCAACTGTGCTTGTATGTACAAACACGTGTTGCTGTTCTCCACAGCAGCAGCCTTTCCTTCCTCTGCTTCAGCTGAGCCTGGTATCAGGTTTCCCTTGCATCCAGTGTAAGAATAAGATGCTCATAGCGGAAATCACCAGCTGAGGTTCCCTGGGCTGCACTGTGCAAGGGGAAACACTGGACAGTTACAGCAGCTTCTCTACCCTCAAAATCTGTGGGTCCCTAATGAGCACCAGGGAAGGTGAGAAAGTTCCCCACAAGGAGCCATCTTTGCAATATGAAGAGGCTCGGCCACTTTTCTGTGATGAACTGAGCCAGAGTAATGCACTGATCGAGGCAAGACGTTCACTGCCAACATCCTGCTGACATGGATTACCTTTACTACAGACAATACTACATAGTGCTTTGATAAGCGGGCTGCCAAGACCCAGTCATGGCCTCATAAGGCTAGCTAGCTGGTACCAGCGGGAATCTAAGACCCCTCAAGAGGAGAGAATCTGTCCCTGATGGTATCAGCATCTCTTTGTTAGGGAGAGGGCAATGTTGATAAGTAACGGTGCTCGGCACCCTCTGACAAACCCTGTTCTCATTGCTTTTAAGTTTGCTGAGTTTCAACATCATGAGATAAGACATTGCCTCCTGGGAGCACCTCCTCAAGGAGAAGTTTCCTGCTTATAAACTTCTGGTCAAAAGCAGATCCTTTCCTCATGGAGAAATGCTTTCATTTTTGTACTTTGAGGCCAATGCTTGAAATTTGGCTTCAGCCCAGGCCTACGAGGGTTGATCAGGGCATTTCCTCCAAAGGCTCCTCCTGGCAGCCGCTTGCCTTCTAGGAGCTGCTAGCATCCTTCCTGTGTTTCCCCACCAGTGGCATGAGGCAGAGCAGGGCTCTGGTGGGGGAGACGCTAAAAGCAGAAGCAGAAAAGGGTAAAGCAGGGCAGATTATGAAGGAAATGATGCCAACACCAGCGTCATACAGCCCTCAGGCCTGTGCAGACCACCCCTGAATTTTCTTTCCTGAAATTATTCTGCCATGACTTTGTCATCACTCATCTATTTACTAATTTTTTTATTCTGAGAAGGGGGGTGAGCTTAAAGCATACTCATGAGTTTTTACTGTGCTAGCACAGTAAAACTCTGGCCCCTTTAGTGGGTTTTAAATTGTCAGTATGCCTCCTGACTTGGTCAAAAAAAAAAAAAAAAGAAGCAGCACTCAAATACAGGGATGACCAACAGCTGGATGCTTTACAGACATATCATGCTTCCAGTGAGTTCTTAGCCTATGCCATCTGCACCCCTTTTCCTCAGGTGGGACTTAGTGCATGTCTGAAATGGAACTGACATTTGCTTGTTATAAGTAGGGTCCCCTTGCCCTTGTATTTTATCATCTGTCACATTAAGAGTTTATGCAGCCACAAAACAAAAGTTCTGTTTGAGAAGAACAAAAGGAGGAGGTTGATTTCTTGGGTGTTTTTGCAAAGAAGTTGAGGTCCTTCCTCAGAGGGGAGCACACCACTGCTCTGCTTCTGGAACATCTACATACCTAGTCGCTGCTGTTTAGCATCTTTATCACTCATAGAACTGCTGCTATGGCGGCGACGATCAAACCCTGAAAATTGAAAAGTACAAACATGTCAAAGCAGCACTTTGAATGACACCTTATTAGAGCTCAGTTGGGGTGCTGAAAAAAAGACAAGATGGAAGACACAAAAATATTCGCAAATCTAGGCTGTTTACAGAATTGTTTTCACAATTGTGGACTCTCCATTCTGTGATTCTATTATTGAAGTAAAAGCAGAGGTGCATCTAAGTATAGAAGTCAGCTTGTGCTGGTCCTCAAGAGGCTAATTCATCTCCTTGTCCAAGTCAGAGCACACTAGAGCTCTCACAAGCGACATAGACGTCTAGGCTGTTCTAAAGACCTTCAGTAATAGAGGCCCCTCACCTACTCCAAGCAACTCTTTCCATCACTTCAGTTTATACAATGTTTCCTAGTAGATAATGTTAAACTTGCCCACCGTGCATGAGCCATTAGTTTCTTGCTCTATCTACTACGGACGCAGGCCCTCTAAGTGGGACATTCTTAGTAGTGATGGAGATAAACCACCTCCCTGGGACAAAAAAAAACAGCTACAAGCATTTGACATTTATCTAATACTGGAATGTGACTTCGATTGTGCTTCACAGAACAGTTAACATCCACATTTTATCACTCTCAGCCAGCAACATCTGGGACACCAGAAATAGGCAGGTGCAATGGTGCAAGCTGCTTGTGGAAGCCTGGCTTTGAAAATTTTTGCAGGAAAAAATGTGAGGTTTAAAAAACACGTTTCACAAGAGATGCGTTAGATTTAGCAAATGATGCTCAGATCTTTTTGCTCAATCCCCCCATTTGTTGTGAAGCATAGTGCTAAGCAGTGCCAGAACCTTAGCCAAAAAGTAGCATAACATGCCTGATATAAAGTATCCTTGGAACTGACCCTACTGGCAGCAGAGCTGCTGGAAGGAAAAAAAAAAAAAAAAAAAGAGCATACCAAAGTAGAAAGAGCAGTAAGGGCTGCAGGTAGCCTAGTCAAAGGATTTATAGTGCAAGCATTTGTAAACCAAAGCAGAGCATGCAGGAAGTGCACACTCTTGAGCATGTGCACTGTTTTGAAAAGTACACACTTTGGAGCATGTGAAAGAAGCCTGACAGACTAGAGACAAAAGAGACACCAAAGAGCTGCACCACATATCACAGCTACACACTGTAGCAAAGCCCACAGCCCAGGTTCTCTGAATTGTTTGCCACTCCTTCTCAGGATTTAAGTTCACCCAAAGCAGCATAAGCCTGTGTGATGGACCTGAAACAGAGCAGCAACAGGAAGCACCAATGACTAGATATACCCTCATTATACGCTCACAGCTGTGATGCGGCTGAAAGCCTCTCTCTCTCTGGCCAGCAGCATGAAGTGATCGATGCACATACACACAGATCATAAATTACTGAGGGCACTGGCAAATCTCATCAAGAACCACAGCCAGCTCAGCAAGATGGTCCAGCTGTCAGCAGTGTGAGTGCCTAAACCAGTCCCCAAATTTGTGCAACAGGAACAGGAGATCTCCTAGCAAAACCAAGAGCAGCTTTTCCTTCAGGTAACTCATTTCTTAGCAAGGCGCAATCCAGCACCAAAGCCACACTCTGCCACCAACAGTAAGCACCTCTACAGGACCCAAGACCTGCACTTTGCTCCCTTTGTCCCCAGCCCAGGAAGGGAGTTTTGCAGGACTCCTCGGGGCTGCAGCCGGCAGAGTACAAGGGTTCATTTCCAGCTGCTTCGCTTTCCTCCAGCGCACATTCCAGGGGGATGCAAACGGAGGGCAGCTTTCTGTGCAAACGTGAATCAGGACATAATCTGGATTTCTTTTGCTGCTATCACTACCACTTATCCACTCAGAAAGCTGCAAGTCAGTCAACTCCTTTCTATCTCTTTCCACTGTGAGACTGTTTACATGGACAGGACACCAGGGCTGGTGTTTTGCTTTTAGAAATTGAATATCACGTGACTGACGAGATAACTCAGAATTTTATTTAGCGGCCTCCAATCCTTCCAGTAACCGTTACATGAGCGCCCAGAGACATTGCTCAGCGGTGACACATAATCTTGAGTACTTTCACTTTGCAGCAAAGGCTTTTGACTGACTTTCAGGTGCCGCTGCACAGTGCATGGGGAAGTGGAGAGTGACCAAACAAATCCCTCACCTCCTGCCTTGCACTGAGTGGGAAGGTCTCAGTCCTCAATTCATCCCTGAAACAAGCCCTAGAAACACCACTACCCATTCTTTTAAGCTCTCACTCCGACATCGCTAAAATGGTTTCTGCTGGATGAACTCTAGATTTGTCTGTTTGCTCTTTCTTTAAAAGCCAAACCAGCATCCTCCACCCACTAGTGAGCCAAGCACATCAAAGACACAAAACAGGGAGGTGTTGCAGAGAGGCTGGGGGATTCCCTTGCCTCGAGAAACAAAAGTGAGTGAGCTGCTTGGCAAAGTTAGGGCCAAGAGAGCTTTTCTGAAACGCAGGGAGAGGAAATGGAACAAGGGAGGTTCATCTGGAAAGCATGGAAAACAGAAAAAGTCAAAATTGAAGTTGCGGTGGCTTCCTCCCTCGACTTTGCCAGCGCTGTGGTCCCTATGTCCCAATATATGGGATATTGGTAGCCCTGCCCAGCCCTTGGAGCAAGAGCATAGCACCCCAAGGGCCATTCCAGCCTTACCTTTTGGCACACACGATGAGGCTCTTACACTCACGCATGCTTCTTGCTTCTGGCTCAAGTTACCTAAAATGGTTGAATTGGAAATGAAATACGGTTATTGCCAGCATCCTGCTCTTGAAATCTGGGGTGCTGCTGGCTAGGCAAAAAAAAAAAAAAAGGGAGCAAGCAGCTCACAATACCTATAGTGGCACAAAGCAAATGTCAGTATAAAGGCTGACGCAACGCAGCCAGGTTTCAGGCTCCCCATCTAATCCTCTCCTTTCAGCCTGAAATAGAGTTACCTTCATCTTAAAGTGAGATGTGAAACGTTGTCTCTATGCTTCATGCAAACTCAGAGTGAGAGCAGCTTTGGCTGATCGAGAACCACACTGCAGCCAAAAAGGGGAATCCCTACTCTGCCCTATTCCTGTACTGAGATATTTTTGTGATGAAACCCTTGGTAGCGTTAGTGGGCAGGCCAGCCAGGGACCTCCTCTGACTTGCTGCATGGCTGCACAAGGAGAAGAATTGAAGTAAGGAGGCTCCAGCAGCCAGGAAACCCCACCTAGCATGCTCAACTCCACAGACTACGTCCACAAAACTTCAGAGAGAGGTGCAGCTCAGATGAAACTGAAGTCAGGATACCGACAGGGCTGTTCTGTTCAGACAAGCTCCTCTCTGAAAATATCCCTCTCCAAAATCAGATGGGAAGCCTTCGTCCACGGGTTACTTTCATGGTCATTTCCAGCGTTCCCCAGCTGGAAACACAGGCATTTTTAACTTCAGCATCAGCACAAAGCAACCAAGAACAAGGCTCCAAATGGGCACATGCACTGGGCCACAGCCACACACAAAATCCAGCCAACGGTTTGAATACCTTGACCCTTGCTCTACGTGCCATGTAAAGCAGAGGAAGCCAGTTTTGCTGCTGAAAGACTTGGTCCTGTCATTTCTCCACTGCCCATCTCAAGCCCTACTTGCATCCCTTGGTGAGAGAGGGCAGGTTCATGCAGCCATTCGGCAAACTAGGTGGCAGAACTGATCTGCGTCTAACCTAACCATTACTGCTCCTCAGATTGGTTTGAACCCGAATCAGTTCATCATGTGGCCTCATAAACTCTTTTCTCTAGGAGTAACTTCATGAACCAGTTATGGCGAGCTAATGGATACCTGCTGCTGAAGGGAGCCACGTGGTGTCGTTGCACGCTCCCTCATCTCAGCTGCATGCACCCACCACTTTCTACACCTCCATGGATGCTCGCCGACCCTGCAAGAGCCAGTTTGGGGAGCTAAGCTGGCTGTGAACTATTCGCTTGTCTTCACAGGTCTAGTTCCCTACTGCGCTGGCCCACCTGAAGACAAACCTGGGGATGTGGCAAAACCTGAAGGGCAGTTGCACGCTTGCTTAATCCAAGACTGCTTTGCTACTGTAAGGGTGGTCTTGTGCCCCCCAAGCATCGAGACCCACCCAATCCCCTGGGACAGCCCTTGCATTCACACAGCTACGCAGGGAGCCAGAGTTAACTGACAACTACTCCTAGAGCAAAACCAAAACCAATTCATCTTCAGGAGGATCAGTGACACTAACTTGTTAGTGCACCGCCCTAAAACCCAGCATAAGCCAGCCCTGAAGCCTAAAGAAACCTTTTCTTTTATGATATGTCACTGCACTAAACGGCCAAAATCTGTTTCAGCTCCAGTCCCAAGAGAAAGCCCACCTCAGCCCTTGCTCCCTTCCTGCTGGTTGTCTAATTTTCTCCCCCTTTCAATTCTGCCAAAGTAACTGCTGCTGCAGTTGCTTGGTGAAGGTTGCCTCAGTCTGACTGATGCAAACCACTGACAAGTTATTTCAGGAAGAGTGTTGAAGATTGGACTGTTAGAAAGAACTTATGATGTGAGACTTCCTGCTAAGCAGGATGTTAACAGAAAATAAGTAATAAACAGATGAAGTAGCACAGTAAGAGAGAAACACAGCGTAGCTGACACTGTAGGCTTTAAAAAGGAGAGCATGTGTGTACACACTTTGTGTATCATCGTCTACAATGTAATAGTCACTGTAGTGACCAGAGTTTCTATGGCTCAGATGGTGCTTTCTAAAGCCACTGCTTACAGGTGCTAACTAGAGCTATGGAGAAGTGGTTTTCCTGCCATGTGAGAATTTTAAGACTTTTATATTTCTTCCCCTCCTGGATCAGGAAAATAAAAAATAGCAATAAAAAAAAATGGAATAAGATATAATTTTTTTCTTCTTCAAATAAGTCTATCAAAACATTTCATCTCAGCTTTATTGGAAAGGGGGGAGTGCAAAAATTTTTATTCTGTTTTTGTTTTTTTAATTTTTTTTAACCTTAACTTACACTTCTAAGCCCAAAATTCTGCTTCCAAGAAAAAACAACCATGAAAAATTTCAGCTGTTTCAAACCTCTCCTTCAAGAAGTCTGAAAATTTGGAAGAATAACTTTCTGACCAAGAAATACGGATTGAAGCTAAATTATCTGATTAAGAAAATACTGTCATCAAAAATCTCCTGAGCTACTCTAGCATCAATGCTTTACATTTTACTGCTGCGGTGACATGCTCCACTCCCCCAAAAAGCAGCCAGAAATCCCTACAGCACAGCACCCCTTGTTCCTCATATTTCAAATGCCCCTAATTAGCACCCTGAAAACAGCATTTTTCACCTGGGCAAAAACTTTGTGCTTTTAGGGACAGTCCTAATTTGGGAATCTAGATGATATGACTGTTCAGGGTCCCATAGGGGCCGCAGAAACCCTCCATCCGTAAATCAGGCCAACTGTTCTTGAAAGAGTGACCACAGGCCTCCCCGTTTCCATCTGGCTGGATCAGGACGCAGAGGCGTGAACCCAAAGGGAGCTGCATGCCCCTGTACTTCTCTCCTGCCCAAATACCCATTTGTAAAAGCCCAGCCCACTGCTGGCCCACTGCAACTGGCAGAGGACTATTCAAAATAAGGTGCTGCTGGCAGTGATATGAGCAACATGCCTGAGAAAGTGCCCAGCAATGCCAGCAGGGCATCGCCATGCTGAAAAAGCACAGCTGAACCTGTGAGCTGTTGTTATTTTGTGGCACTAACTATTCCTGGAGGGACTAATCTTATTCCAAAGATTATGAGGAAAAATGGGCAGGGTGAGCCAGAAAGAAAGTCAGATCATGTTTATCAAGCGGCTTGGGCTAGCTCATAGCTGCCTAGACACCACGGAGTGGAAAAATCACATCCCACTGATGACGACATGAGGCACTGAACGAATAGGCAAGATTATTAGTGGCATCGCTGCCTAAACTGGTTTGTTGGCCAGAGAGGGCCAAGGCACCGGCTGTTGTAGGAGATGGTTGGGGAAGCTGGCCCAATCCCTATTACCTTCTCCTGCACAGCTCATGAGCAGTATCTCCAGATCCAGGGGGAGGTCACACTCCATGCACAGGTACTGTACAAACTGTTTCCAGGTGGCAGGGCCAGCCTTCTCCAGCCGGTCAAGGAGCACCGAGACCTTCTCTTTGTGGTCAGTGATGCCATCCAAGCCACTGAGGGTCACCTCTGGGAGGAAGCGCTGAGAGGTTGTGAGCAGCCAGTCAGGACGGTGACTGAGGAACTCCACTAGCTGGGGGCGAGCACTTGCTATGGATGCCTCCAGGTTTAGATCATCCGTCTGACAAAGGGGCTAGAGGGATGAAACCAGAGAGGGTAGCAATGGGCACAGAAGCAAGAGACGTTCAGCTGCACAACCCTGCTGCCAAGCACCCAGCACAGCCCTTGATGACAATCTGCTTTTCTACACTTTGATCCACCCAGAACCACTTACCTGCTTTACCCTCCTGGTATGCAGTGGCAAAATCCTAGCCTGGCTATTGCAGTGCAGCGACTGCAGTGTTTGCCTGCACAGTGCCTAATAGAGTGGTAATGCAAGGGAAAGGAGCAAACACCACAAGTCCAGTTTCTGTGGAGTCAGTCCAGAAAAAGCCATGTTGATGGCTATATCGATATGGTGGCCAGCTACAAAACATAACATCTCAGGCATCTTTCACATGCAGCAGGAGCTCTGCAGAGGCTTGGGACTCAAAGGGCAAGATACTTCCCTGCACAAAGGGCTCAGGCAGCTGTTTTTGCCATTCATTACAGCAACACATTACTGCTTTAGTGACAATGTCACCCTTCGCTTCCCATGCCAATCCCCCCTCCACTTCCCACAGCATGCTCATGTTTTCCTACCTGCATGGTTGTGCGGTCAGTCTCCCGCTGGTTGTTCTATGTGGAATCCAGCAGCATATTCAAATGCAATGGGGGCTTCCCCTCCATACCCTGCCAACGCACTGATCTGCTATCAGCACCGTTTCGCCATGCAGTGGCACCCCAACGTGTATTGTGTGTCTGCATGCAGAAGCCTCACTCTGTGTGATTGCCTAGGAGAAATAACAACAGAGCAGGATGTAGACGTGAAGGGCACATGCAATTACACAGGTCACAGATCGAGAAGTTCTGCCTTTGATCCTGGAAAAAGCGGTGGAGCCTTTTCATCTCCACAGGTTGCAATCTCAACTCAAACCAGCAGTGATCACAAAGTCCAGACATTTAAGGATCTACTACTGATGTGATAAAAATGAGGGACTCAGTCTTGTGCTCTGAGATGCAAGTGAAGGAAATGAGCTTTACGGGAACACTAGAAAGGAACTGCAGATTTTCTGATGTCACTGCCTGACTTGAGCTGGTCTTCCATGTCAGCCTGCTGCTCTTAGTGGAAGTCAATGCAGAAGAAGATAAAACAGCTCGCTCAGGCAGTAAGACCAGAAAAACTGTGGAAAGCTAATCCTATGAGGCTACTCAGGTCTTGCAGAAGAGTTTCAGGTACAGGGGGCTGAGAAACAGAGTTGAGATGGCACTCTGGGGAGAGAGTCCAGGAGCACTGGTTTGTTTGACAATGATTACCATCCTGCACACCTCCAAATGTCCTGCAGCAGGACCCTGGCACAAGCTAAGCCAGTATCAGGTCCATGCTACCGCGCTATCCCCAGCAGCCTGCTGCCTATGCCAGGGTCTAAAGACAGCTCTGACTAAAGCTACTATCACCATCACTTTTGCAGAAAGGCACAGAAACAGAAACCACAAGGAGCGGCCTCCGTGCTCCTCCCTCCCCATCAAATCCCTGTCTTGCATCTAGAGGAGATGGTCCCTACAGGTCCAAGATTGCTGCATGTTAATGTTTTTGGTGAGGGGAAAATTCCCACAGTTGCTTTAACACACTCTGGGCTGGGGCAGGGATGCTCTTGTGCTCATCTCATCCAAGCCAGCTCGGACACAGAACGCTACAGAGCAGTGCTGTCCAACCGAACAGGCTGTACTGAGAAGCAGGGCTCATTCGTTGGGGTCTTGTCTCATGCTAATATGGCATCACACAGACAGTCCCTCACACAGGGATCTCCCCACCTCTAGTGAGACTTGGAGAGCATGCGCTTGTGAGCTGGTGCAGAAACCGCTCTGTGCAATCCGGGATGACGGTGAGAACAAAACAAAATAAAGTGAGTCTGCAGCCTGCGGTGTAGCCTAAGAAGGCAGAGCAAAATTCAGGGCGGTTCAGAGAAATCTCAGGTCCACAGGTTCTGGCCCTCTCTCATTGCCTCCCCTGGACATCAGAGGATCACAGGATCACAGAATGGCCAAGGTTGGAAGGGACCTCTGGCGATCATCATGCTCAAGCAGGGTCCTCTAGAGCACATTGCCCAGGATCATGTCCAGGCGGGGTTTGAATATCTCCAGGGAAGGAGACTCCACTACCTCTCTGGGCAACCTGTTCCAGTGCTCAGACACCCTCACAGGAAAGAAGTTTGTCCTCATGTTCAGACGGAACCCCCTGTGTTTCAGTTTGTGCCCGTTGCCTCTTGTCCTGTCACTGGGCACCACGGAGAAGAGTCTGGCCCCATTCTCTCGACACCCTTTCTTCAGATACTTGTACACATTGATGAGATCGCCTCTCAGGCTTCCCTTCTCCAGGCTCAACAGGCCCAGCCCTCTCAGCCTTTCTTCACAGGAGAGATGCTCCAGGCCCCTCCTCATCTTCGTAGCCCTCCGCTGGACTCTCTCCAGTAGCGCCATGCCTCTCTTGTACTGGGGAGCCCAGAACTGGACACAGTACTCCAGGGGAGGCCTTCCCAGGGCTGAGGAGAGGGGCAGGATCACCTCCCTCGACCTGCTGGCAACACTCTGCCTAATGCAACCCAGGATACCTTTGGATATCCTGGAGCAAGGTTTGAACCTTTCAGTAGGAGATGCTGCTGCTGAGGGATTTCTGATGTTCTCTCAGGTTTCACGACTCCAAGGGATGCTCTGATTCAAAGATCTCCAACTTCAAGTTGCTAACATGGCTTAGCATCAAGCTTTGGCTCTCTCAAGCTATTCAACCACAGTAACCCCCCCCAGGGGAAATGACTTCCTTTTGCCTTCTACCCTGCATATGCAAAAAGTGAACAGGTCTGAGGTAACAGCCCTGCAACCAAACATCAGTTCATCCCAGGAGGTCTGAGTTTCCATGGGTGGGCAAAGGAGTGGGAATGGGGCAGTGACCAACCTAGTTCAGCGCAAGACCAAAGAGCTGGTATCACTGTCGAGTGGAAGTATCATGCTGAGGGGAAGACCTTCCTCATCTAACCAGGCTTGCACACTCAGTGCTATCCTCCTTTGACTGTCCTTTCTTGAGCAGTCCTCAACCCAATGACAACGGTGCCCCCACCACTGCAGGGGTGGAGAAGCCCTTCCACATAGTTCACATCCTCTAGTGTTCAACCCTTACTCCGCAGACATGTTCTCTTCTGCACCAGTTCAGGAAGCTACATTAAAAGTAAACCAGAGGCCTTCAGGCTTTTGTCTTCTTCTTGACTCAGCCAAGAAGGGAAGTAGGAGATTTATGTGGCACTGAGGGAGGAATGAAACAGAAGTAGAAGCGAGAAAGGTGATCTGATAGAAAGAGCCAAGACTTTCCTATCACAACAGAGACAACTCCTAATTCATCAGAGAGTTACCCTCATGTCGGAGGGCCCTCACAGCACAGCCATGCCACTCACGGGGGCACAGTGCATGGGGAGAACCTCATCTCTCCCAGGTCCCTGTTGGGCACAGCCCACACCCAACAGCTGAAGATAAAACAAAGAGCAGGAGCCAGGATGGAGCACTGGAGGCAAAACTGCTCAAGATATTTGTCCAACTCAAGTCAAAGACGACACCTTTTCCCCCATAAGCCAGCACAGCTCCCTGCCCTCTCCGCACCACACCTCTTCGAACAACCTCATATGTTTTGAGACAGTGCCAAGTTCATGTAGCAACAGGATTGACCTGATTCTGTGCAACAGCAGGGGACCGGTTGGAAAGGATCTAGTTTGTTTCTTCTGTTTCTGCGTTCCAGAAGACAAGCAGATTCCTGATAAGAACAAAGCTGATGATATTGTAAACTTTTTTTACTAATCTCTGACTCTTATGGTCAAAACCATGTCACAAGTTGACTCTTATACAGTATCACTGCATACTGCTATTATACAGTATCACTGCAAAAAAAGACTGCATCCAGATTCCCATTCTAGATCAAGCTTTCAGGATGCGTAACATAAAAAGCAAGCCCACTCTGATATCCATCAAAAAGTGGGTCAAAACTCCAATTTTTAAAAATCCTCTGACGACTCTCATTCAGTATTCTATTAAAAACGACAACAACAACATCATCCTGGTGAAATTATAAGAAAATTGGGCTTAACCACAATCAATGTTCTCCTCACATCTTTTCTGCGATGCCAAAAATGGAAACTCTGATCCTTATTGGAAAGGAGGCTGTGCGTTTTCATTTCAAAATGTTTTATGACACAAAATGTTTTTTGAAATGAAATGCATTTTCTATTATAAATTATACAAATGAAGACTGCTAATAGGAACACATACAAAAAAGACATAAAGGAAACATTTCAATTTACTGGACACTTAAAATTTCCCTTGCAGATTTTCACATTTAAATTGCCATTCAAAACAAACTGCAAAATATCAGAACTTCTTGCACAACAGACTTCAGTTCCCTGTGGCGTGATCAGTCAACTTCTAGGGATCACTGTAGACAGCAGTGGCCTGACTTTATTCCCCTGATAACTGAGAACTACCTACATATCAGGACCATATTTAAAAAATAATAATAAAAACAGTAGACCTTAATGTCACCAACGACTGAAAATCACTCGGCCAAAGAACAAACTAACGTGAATTAATAGCGAAAGAATCATATTCAGAAAGAAAACAACACTGAAAAGTTAGTTTAAAGCATCGGCAATACCACACGGCTCCTGTATTAATGTAGCTTTGCTAAATAAGCAGACAGAAAACTCCATAAACAGTGGGCAGCAACCTACAATAAATAAAATACCAGGAGCTACTCTTGGCTCAAAATGGGGCGTGAAAGCCTCCTGAGAAGAGCCAGAAGCCCTGCGAGCCTTGTCCCAGTCCTTCAAACGCACCAGCAGAAAAACAACATTCAAACACAACGCAAAAATACCCCCTCAAAACTTGGCATTCACACCATTCTCGGCCACGAAAATGCAAATCTGCCGACTCCTTGCTTGCTCTGAGAAACATAAACTACTTACCAAGGGCATAAAAAGCCTCCAGAGAGAGCAGCAGCACCAAAAATGAAGGGGGATCGCAAAACAAAAGACCGGGGAGGGGGGGATGATGTCCACTGCCTTGATTTCCCCACTTACTACATCACCACTCCCCCGATACACGCAGCCTTTCAGGGCCTTTTGGGAGCTGCTGTGCAAAACGCAGTGAAAATGAAAGTAAAAATAAGAAGGAATTCCCCAATCAGAATTCCTTTGCTCCTTAATAAAAACAGTCAGACAAACCAAAAATACCCCCCAAGAAGCACCAGAAGAGCGTTACCCTACTCTTAAGGGGGGAAAAAAAAAAGACAGAAAATATTTTAGGTAAGTGTTTGAGTACTGGTCCAAATTAGAGGATATGTGGAGTAAACTCCTACTTGGCTTTGGCTAAGGCTCTTGTAGTGGAAATATTGCTATTTATATGTATAGGTCTGACAATCCTAGGAGAAGGGAAAACGTTTATCTACCATTTCCATTGAGATATTACCAGCTTTTCTCTGCAGGCTAGAAGGAGGTCCCCCTTTCCCAGGAATTAGCCAACCTGCCCAGGGAAGCTACCTTGGAAAAAAAGCAGATGCAGTCTGCAGCAGGATCATGGACCAGGCAAGGTGGCGCATAGCACCATCTCGCAATCCATTTCTTGGAATAAAAATAACCAGCCCCAGCAATATCCACATCTCTGGGAAAAATAAAAAATAAAATAAAATAACACCACCACCACCACAAAGTTGTTCTTGTAATCTTGCCTGGAGCACAGCATAGAGAGGGGGCAGGAGGAGGCTGTGGCTGCCTGGGAATCAGAGGGCTGGAGGGGACCGGGCGCAGCGAGGAGGAGGCGGGGAGGCCGAAGGCTGGGGGACAGCTGGGCCGTGCTCCGTTCCACCTTCTCTACCATCGCGCCATGCCTCCAGAAGGCGGCTCGGCCACAGCAACGGTGTCTCAGGGCTGACAAGGCAAAGCATAGCCTGCTAAGTCAAGGGGAGGTGCACCCTTTATTTGCAAAGTGGCAGTTACGCGCCTAAAAAAACCTAACGCCATTCTGCTTGGTTGACGGATGCACCGCTCTGGCTTGTGAGCGCCACAGTGCTTTTTTTATTTTTTAATCCCCTTGAGGTTAAATAACTGGTTTTCGCAGTTTCAGGATGACTTACCTTCCAACAGATTTTTCTCCCAACAACATCCTCCTCAAGCCAGAAGCTCAACCGAAAGGGGCCGAACACACTTGAAAGCAAAAGCAACCTCCAACAACGCTTTTTACTTCTTCCTTCACCCCAGGAAAGCCAGGGGCCCGGCGAGACCACCCACGCCCCAGATGGGCTGGACACGGGGCGCCCGCGCGGGACAGCCCAAAGCTGCAGGATAAAACCTCTTTTCCTCAGACAAGCCTTCGCGCCAGCAGACGAAAGCGCTGCGGGGGGC